GCTTGGATGTTTCTTATGAAACACAAGTCTGATTTGCTCTTCTTACTCAAAATTTTTATTGCTATGGTTAAGACACAATATGGAAAACCAATTAAGATGTCTAGATGAGATAATGGAAGTGAGTTTTTTAATCATTCTTGCAAAGACTTATTTTAATTGCATAGCATTGTGCATCAAAGTTCATGCCCATATACCCCTCAGCAAAATTGGATAGTTGAAAGAAGAAACAAACATATACTTGAAACTGCCAGAGCTATTAGATTCCAAGGCCATTTGCCTGTTAGGTACTGGGGCCATTGTATTAACACAACTGTTTATATCATCAACAGGATTCCCTCTTTAATTTTAACAGGCAAATCCCCTTATGAAATGCTACATGGAAAATAACCTTCTTTTTCCCACTTGAGAGTCATAGGTTGTCTGTGCTTTGCAACAAACTTAACCAAGCATGATAAATTTGAGCCAAGGGCTATGAGGTCTGTTCTGTTAGGCTATGCAGCACACCAGAAGGGTTACGTGCTACTAGACTTGGAGAACAAAGTTTTCTTCATTAGCAGGGATGTTTTTTATAAGGATGTATTTCCTATTCAATCACTGGACATTGGTTCTCCGGACTTTTTCTTGATACTACTTCTGTTCCTATACATGATTTCACTGTCGATCCAACTGTAATTGCAATACAGGTTCCACACAAGGAACCTTGTACAAACCCAACACCATGCTCTTCCACTTTAAGAGTTTACACTCCACAGATGATGCACCTGATGCAGTTACAGATAATGATCTTGTGCTTGCTACTTCCAATCTTGCTGATGATCCAACATTCAGATGTGATCCACACACATGGTCAAGAGGTTAGGAAGTCGGGGAGAGTGTTTAAGCCTCTCATGTGGATGTAGGATTATGTTCAGCCTGCCAAGGGGAAGTTTGTTGGTTGCTGCAAATGTCCTCTTTCTGAGTTGCTCAACTATGATCACATTACACCTAAATATCAAATCTATCTGTCACATTTCTGTATTGAAGTGGAACCAGTGACTTAACAAGAATAAGTTAAAGACAAGAGAATGCAGTTAGAGATCAAGGCCTTGGAAAACAATAAAACATGAGCTCTTGTTCTTTTACCTAAGGGGAAGAAGGCTATTGGATGTCAATGGGTCTATATGATCAAATACAAGGTATCTGATGAAGTTGAAAGGCTTACTGTCAGACTTACGGCAAAATGATATAATCAGAATGAGGACTTAGACTACCAAGAAACATTCTCACATGTGGTGAAAATGGTAACTATCCGAAGTGTGCTTTCCATAGTAGGTTCAAGGAACTGGACCATCCATCAAATGGATATGTATAAGAGACTTTTACCTTCCTATACCATATATGAAACCTTACTACCAAAAATGTGCATAGTTTCATATTTACCCGCCATGTTCACAGTTATTCTACAAATATTATACCATTAATTAAATACCAATTATTAGGAGCTGATTCCTTCCTAATTAGGCGCGCTACAAATCTGGAACTAAATATTCTTCCAGATATTCCTATTTAGGCGCGCTACAATTATGGAAGTAAATATTCTTCTAGATATTTCATTAAATAAGCAATCATTGTAGCATTAAAATTCCTTATTTAGATATCTAAGCAAATATTTCTGCATTTTCTAAGCAAGCAAATATCTCTGCATTTTCTACTTCACTTAACGAAGAAACAAAATCCACAAAACGAAGAAACTAAGCAAATATCTCTGCATTTTCTACTTCACCTAATCTTTTTGCTTATAGTCTCACTTAAACTTGTAGCTGAAAATATCGTTATATTTTTTTTTCCATGAAAAATAATAAGTTGACAAATCTAATAGTTGATGTCACCTAGGTAGTATTTTTCAAACTCGACAAAGTAGTTGATGTAGCTTTCTAGCATATTTCCCTCAATCTATAATTGAGAATACTATAATTTTAAGATTATGTCTAGTTGAAAATCCCAATTAAAATACAATTGAAATGGGAATTGGGATATTAAAATTCAATATACTAGTTTGTAGATATTTTATAGATGAATTGTAGATTATTTGTATTATGATTGTAGATGCTTTGTTTTTTATTTTCACAAATAAAAAATGACTAAAACATCTACAAATCTTTTGCAAAAAACGCAATTATGTCGAAAATTCTAATTAAACTACAATCGAATGGGAATTGGGATATTAAAATTCAATGTACCCAGTTTGTAGATATTTTGTAGATAAATTGTAGATTATTTGTATTCTGATTGTAGATGCTTTGTTTTTTGTTTTCATAAATCAAAAACGACTAAAACGACTAAACTTCTACAAATCTTCAGCAAAAAACGCAATTATATCGAAAATGCTAATTATGCTACAATTGAAATAGGAATTGGGATATTAAAATTCAATGTACCCAGTTTGTAGATATTTTGTAGATAAATTGTAGATTATTTGTATTCTGATTGTAGATGCATTGTTTTCTGTTTTTACAAATCCAAAACGGCTAAAACTTCTAAAAAATCTTCTGCAAAAAACACAATTATGTCGAAAATACCAATTAAGCTACAATTGAATGGGAATTGGGATATTAAAATTCAATGTACCCAGTTGGTAGATAAATTGTAGATTATTTGTATTCTGATTGTAGATGCTTTGTTTTCTGTTTTCACAAATCCAAAACGACTAAAACTTCTAGAAAATCTTCTGCAAAAAATGCAATTATGTCGAAAATACCAATTAAGCTACAATTGAATGGGAATTGATCTTGATTTTATTCTTGAGTCCCAATTTTTCATTGAAACCAAAACAACATAAAAATACTGAGGGAAACAGAGAAGAAAAAAATGTTAGCAAATTAGGATATTAAAAACGCAAATTTTTGAAAAGAAAAGGAAAAGAATGATTTCAAATAGGGAATCTGCAAGGCGATCTAGGATGAAGAAACAAAATCTTGTGCAAGAATTGACAAAGGAAGTCAGCAAATTACAAGCTGCCAACAGAACCATTGTGGCTAAAATTGAAGAGACTACAGAGAGGTTGACATTTTGCACTGCTCAGAATAATGTGTTGAGGGAACAGGAAATAGAGTTAACAGATAGGTTAAAATCTCTGAACGATTTTATTAATCATAGTGGTTTGGGAGAGAGAAACGTGGGAGGGGTGGGCTATACGGTACCTTGAATTAAGGAGGGATATACGCTGCATTAATTGTACCCTTAAAAAATATTATGGTATAGAATTGGTAATTTGGTATGCTAAATGTAATTATATCAAACCTTAAACATTGAGGGTAATAATGTTTCCTATATGGTATAGGAATGTAAAAATCTCTATGTATAATGTATTTTTACAAGGTGACCTATTTGAGAAGGTGTATATGATAATTCCAGAAGGGTACAGTGTGGTTCCACTGATAAGTCCTTGGTGTACAAGCTGCTTAAGTCTCTTTATGGACTTAAGCAGGCTTCTAGACAATGGAATATCAAATTGACCACAACATTGCAGAATTCTGGATTTACACAAAGCCACCTAGACTATTCCTTGTTCATCAATAGAGAGACAGGAAAGTTAGTGGAGGTTTTGGTCTATGTTGATGACTTGCTGATCACAGGTGATGATTTGCTGCTTATACAACATACCAAGAGATGACCTGCAATCCAGTTTTAAGATTAAAGACCATGGTGAGCTCAAATTTTTCTTGGGCATAGAGTTTGCTAGGAGTGACTATGGAATCTTGATGCACCAACGCAAGTATACTTTGGAGTTGATCTCTGGTCTGGGTTTAGTAGGGTCTAAGCTAGTCCACTGTCCTATAAAGCAAAATCTCAAATTAATTATCACAAAGTTTGATGTTCATAAGGAGTCTACCGATGATTCTATACTTCCTGATCCAGGCCTCTATCAGAGACTGTTGGGTAAATTGCTCTACTTAACCACTACCCGTTCTGATATTTCATTTGCATTGTAGTGTTTAAGTCAATTCATGCATAAACCCAAGACTTCCCATATGGAAGCTGCCCTAAGGGTGGTGATCTTTTAAGTCTGGCCCTGATTTGGGTGTTCTATTGAGTGCTACCTGCTCAGAAACTCTCTCAGCCTTTAGTGATGCTAATCTGGTCGCTTGTCCCAACACACGTAAGTTTGTCACGGGGTATTTGTCAAATTTTGTAGCTCCTTGATTTGTTGGTAGTCTAAGAAGTAGTCTACTATATCCCGAAGCTCAGTAGAGGCTGAGTATAGAGTTTGGCCTCTATAGTGGATGAGGTGATTTGGATTATTGGTCTGTTCACGGAGTTGGGTGTCCTTCATTCCTCTTATGTTCCCATCTATTGTGATAGCAAATCAGCTATTCAAATTGCTGCAGTACCAATATTTCATGAACAAACTAAACATATCGATATTGACTGCCACTTTATTCGAGAAAAGGTCCAACAGGGACTGATCAGCACCCTCGATGTGCCTACTGCAGAACAGGAAGCTGACTTGCTAACCAAGGATCTTGGGCAATATCAACATGACTATTTGGTGTTCAAGCTAGGACTGAAGAACATCTTCAGTAGTTCCTAGCTTGAGGGGAGGAGAGGGTGGGGTGTAAAGTATGTGCCTATACATGAAGTTTCTTAACTCACATGTGTCTTAACTTAACTATAGTTAGTCCATAAGTTAGTCTCAAGTAACCATAGTTAGTTTATAGGTTTGTTAGTTGTATAACTGTCAATTAGTTGGTATTAGTTAGTTGGTTAAGTGTAAATCAGTAAATAGAGTTGTACAGTAGAGTTCCGATTCAATTGAAGAAGAAGATATCATTTTCCAACTTTCTCTTCTCGAAGTGCTTCTTCTCATCTCCAAATCTGATAACTGTTCTAGCTCAATTATGAGAATTCAACATTACTTCATTGGTATATCTTTGGATTTGCAATACAATAAGGGTTTTCACTTCAGAAAGATGGTTAAATAGTGTCATGAAGATACCTCATTAAGAGTCGAGGAGGGTAAAATCACCATGTCTTCGAGGTCTCAAACCATGACCTCTTTCTTTTTTCCATAGAATATTATTTTGGCAAAATACTTTTTATAAACAAAGTTGTCTACTTTATAAGCTTACATGGAAATGAAATCGTATAACTTAATGAACAAATTAAAATATATACACTTGGCACAAAGACTCTTGAGAGAAACTTATATAATCACATTTTTAATGTAGAATAACAATAATTATGTCTCAGTCTACTGCTAGCAGTTTTCGCTATTCCAATGTGTTGATACCATAGATTATTCAAATGCTCCATCTGCTTTGCTCTTCATAGGATGAAGGTCTTGGTACATCTTCGGATGTAGATCTTGGTAATAACATCGAACAATCTGGTCAAAGGAATAACTAACAAATAAACATATAATCTACTACTGATCACATAACAAATTCGAATAATTAAAGACTAAAATTGCATTAAGAACAAAAGTACAATGGACAATCAGTAGGTACCTTTTGATGCTGTGCTATAGGATCTCTTACAGTGAAGAATAGCAGCTTGGATCCCGTCATTTTGCTCCAACAGTGAATCGTCTCTGCGATTCATCGGCGATGTTGAAACTCCGGCAACGGAAGCTGCCGACCGACTCTTCCTTAGCTGTTTACGCACGGTCCCAAGTACAGCAACTCGATTCCCCTGTTTCTCCTCCGATGATTTTCTGCGCGAGCTCAATAACTTAGTTTTGGGCACATCAGGTCTTTCAAATTCCGCCTCTTTCTCTTTCTGCAGTTTGCTTCTTAAACTGTTATCAGTGGACAACATAGAGCTAATCACTGGAACATCCTTCACGTTGCGTTTTACAGCGATTCGGTTGCTCTGTGTCCTGGGCGAAAGTGTCTGTTTTTTACGCTTTGCCCTGGCCGTAGAAGAATCTTGAATACTCGATTTCTCTGGCTTTAACTTCTTTAAGCCCAAAAAGAAGACGCGAATCTTGGTACATGATCTGAGCACAGTAATTGGAGAATGAGGCTTCGAGTTGGAGTCCACTTTAGGGCGTTCATCGCGCCCTGTGAACACCAAATGGAAGAAAGAGTTTTCATCGTCATCGGTTTCTTTAACATTCGGGTTAGTTACATAATCCATTCCATCGACGATGTTCTTAACAGAATCAAAATGAGAGATAGTATCACAAACGGTGGCCATATTAGGCCAGCATTTGAGCAGCTTAAAAGTTTTCATGTAATAAGAAACAATGTAGGATAGTATGAGCAAAGAGGGTTTGAATGCAGAAGCCAAGAAAAGCAAGGTAAATAGTGAGCTATAAATAACGACAACTTTAGTAAAGTTGGATATTAGGCTCTGCTTCTGTCAAATAGTGAGAATGGAGCTTTGTGAAAAGCATAGAGTTGATGTAAGCTTCTCTACTTTTTGTGAGGGAAAAAAGACTGACAAGTGAGGAATAATGCAAACTACTTTGTTGGTTTCATCGTTTTATATGCAGAGGACGTTGTGTCATCGTCATGTGATAATGCAGATATACAACAATTTTTTTTCCATATAATACACTCTCTCCTACTATACAATGTACAGATGTACTGTAGTAATATTCCACACTTTATACATAGATTACGGACTACATGTTAATTTTAGGGAAAATTAACAGGAAAGATTAACGCATATGCTCAATTACACGTAAAAATAGCACGGGCTAGCCAGTTTTCGGACTGGTCATTCAAAAATAGCCAGCGTTTGCAAAATTATTGAAAATAACCGCTATTTTGCTGCAGCACGGAAAGTTCCAGCATAATATACTAGAGATTGGAGCACTTGTGTATGAACATCCAGCATATTAGGGGTGTCCATAAAAACCCGAAAAATCGAACCAAACCGACCAAAAAAACCGATACTTTTTAAGTTTGGTTTGGTTTTGGTTTTGAATTTTAAAAACCGATCAAAATTGTTTTGGTTTTGGTTTTATCCAAAAAATAATCGAAAAAATCGAACCAAACCGACTATAAAAGTAGCTATTTAAATTTATTATTACACCTATATATATGTATATTTTTATATAAAGTTTCTAAAATTTTATGGTACATATTAGTCATTTATATTTTTAGTCTAGTTCTTTACTGTTATAATCATCTAATTCTTTGCCTTTACATTCTAGTTTGATTGGTAGTTTTCTTTTTCTAAGTACAAGAATTTATTTCATGTTAAAAATAATCGATTTTTAATTGAGTACTTAAATTATTCATCACTATTTGATTCAATTATCATCAATATATCTTGGTAAATGATAGATTTCTCAGTGAACAATTGATTTGATCGTGTTACGTTGAAAATGTAGTCGCCGGAATATGCGTTTGGTAGTGTATGTCTCATATTCAAGAAAAAAACAGATAAATAACCGAAAAAATCGAAAAACCGAAAATAAACCGACAAAAATCGAATCGATAAAAACCCGACTTAATTGGTTTGGTTTGGTTCTCATATTTGAAAAATCGACTTACTTGGTTTGGTTTCTTTTTAGGGAAAAACTGACCCAAACCGAACCATGAACACCTCTACAGCATATTATGCTGGACCGGTATATTATACTGGAACTCCAATATATTATGCTGGAAGTCCAGTATATTGTACTGGAACTCCTGTACAATATATTGGAGTTCCAGTATATTATACTGAAGTATTTTCCGGATTTTGAACAGTGTTTTCGTTCAGATTTATCTTTACATGAAAAGTGGCTTATTTCGATTACTTTTAAAACTATGGCTATTTTTGAATGACCACTTGTAAATCTGGCTATTTTTGAATTTCTCCCAATTACAGTGCGATTAAGAGTGGCGAACGAGCGGTTCCGGTCGGATATGGGACGGGTCAAAAACGGGTAATGAAATAAACGGATAAATTATCCAATTCGACCCATATTTAATACAGATAAAAAAATGGTTAACCGGCAAATAATATGGGTAACTATATTATCCATGGCTTCTTGAATGTGATCTTTTTTTGGGAGAATTTCTAGTTTACCAAACTTGAGAAACCTCCAATTTGAGGCTTTACAAATGTAAAAGTTAAATCCATAAGTTATGGTTCCTATCCATATTTGACCCGTTTCTAAAGAAACGACTCGTACAAAGAGAAAATACGAAAGTAATGTCTTTGTTTTTGACAGGGACTATAACCTTTTTTGTTATAATAATAAACTCACTTTATATCCTTTTGAAGGGAATAGTCAGATAGGGTCGTTGCCTTAAAGGTTTGACTTGCTTCTTTCAACTGACCTGATTTTTTTATTTTGGGAAGTCTGTCAAAAGCTAGTATAAAAGAAGACTTTGGTTCCATAAAAATGTATTTATAAAGTGATAAAGAACGTGAGAGGAGGAAAAGTGTAAAAAAAAAAAGTGAGCTATATATATAAAGAAGCAAAGGGTGCGTTTGCGAATGTTACTTTCTTTGAACAAAATGAGACAACTTTACTTTCTCTAAATTCTGTCTTCATAGCTAATGAAAACTCTAAAGTCATAACCTATATACTGCTACTAATTCTTGTTTGTGAACCTATTATCCAAGCAATGACCGTCCTAAGCCACGATCATGGTCATCTTGTAGGCTATTAATTAACAGAATGTCATACAGCAGGTTTGGCATCTAGGGAGAATCCACTTCACATAATCACGTTTCTGTTAGGCACCATGTGAGTAGACCTTTTTATATGTAACCCAAGTCGAGAGTAAAAGTTGCATAGATATTAATTAATGGTTCTCCACTAGCACAACAAACATCAGTAAAACTCCATATGTTAAGTTCCATGTCTTCTACCACTATTTGTGTAAGTAGCATCTACAAAGACACCACAAAGTAAGTTTCTATCAGCATTAATCAGCTCATTAGTATCTCATCAATTACCTTCATTGTCAGTGTCAAAACCTCTCCCACATATTTATAGTCATGAATGTAATTATCCACTTGTGGTCTTAAGGTTATTATTTATTGGAGTTGGTGTGGTGGTTCATAATTCTTCATTTATCTGATTGTTATTAATTGCAATTTCTCTGAATCTACTATGTACTTCATTTCTAATGTTTCGATTAGGTGCATAATTTGTACATTTTGTCTCACTGAACACTTGAAAACAGAATAAAGTGTAATAGAAAATTATGCATGTGGTGTGGATGAGTATCGAGCTAGATCTTATAAATTGAATATAACTTAATATCGAATTAGATCTAAACTTAAGTTTGAATTTGATAATTCAATACACAATTTAATATCGAATTAGATCTAAACCAAAGCTTGACTATGAATCTGGTTGATCCAAGTATTTAAGTCAACACCTTAAACTTGTAAGACCAAAGATTCTTTCTTTTTTTTCCTAAGACATAAGATTGATTTGGAAAAATCAATTGTATTTACAGCTACTCGCATTTGCCAAAACAAATGCAAGAAAAGCGTGATATCATTTTTCACCTTCTAAAATTTGATGTAAAATGTCCCATGAAGTTCGAGCAGTAGACATTATTGTCTCTTTGACGATAGATCTTCATGTCAAACGGTTATCATGGTGACTCAAGTTCTGCGACACTCGCACATATTGTTTTAATTATGTTCAAAAGACAAATTAATGTGTCAACTTAAACACTTTGTATACGGGTAAAATCGAGGATAGAGTTACCCCTGATTTTTCTTTGTGAAACAAGAAACGACGTTACCTGTTATTAGTTCGAGTGAGACCGAAGATACCCACAAACCGGAACAAGAAACGGACGAACGATACAACGGGTCTCTAGCATGGCCGAACCCGGAGAGAGTCAAGCTCCGATGAGATGAAGAATCGTGGGTAAAGGAAAGGCGGTTAAAGGAGACAAACGGGGAACCTAAATTCCGCCATCGGTCGGGTATTGCGGCGCGGATCGCGCTCAATATTGGCTGCGGATCATATCTTTGTGGGAGAGAAGGAAGGAAAAGATTATTACCTTATTTATACTTGTATTAGAGTTAAAACTCCTCTACTATATAAAAAGGATGACCCCTTTATTTTTTGGCACTGTTTTTTATGCATAACAAGGCAATAAAATTTACTTTGGCTCTCAGCAATTGTTTTAAGTGTTCTTCAATTATTCACTCGTTTATCCAGATCCGAGCTCTATCTCGAGGGCTTAATCGAGACCAACCATCGGCATTTAAGCTAAACACTAGGCTTAATACGTCACTTTGGTTTGATCGTTTTATCTCATTTTAATTCAACTATTTACTGTTATTTGATCATTTGTGTTAAATTAAATCGCATATCCTTTAAACCACATACAAATTTAGTTGTTATCCATTTTAAGGGGAAACATTTTGGCGCCCACTGTTTGGGTAAGGATAATAGTGGCTCTTTAATACGAATCTTAATAACACACACTATTTTACACTTGTTCTTTGAAGTTTGATTTCAGGACTATTCAATATGTCAGATTCTCAATCTGCTCACTTAAGTGTTGACGCCGAATCAGGCCACCACGGTGAAAATAACAACGGGGTGCCGAGAAACAACGTATCCCCTATCGACCCTTATGGCGTACCAATCGCTGATTCGGTCAATGACAATTCAAAGGTTGTTGTCAACACTAACCTACCGACTGATCCCAATAACATCATTCACGGGGCACCTCGACCATCAGTTCGCGAGGCACCCGAAGGGGGAGGCGCTGGAGTTAGCTTATGCTTGATTTTTGAGATGTTGCAAGCCCAACAAGATGCCATAACACAGCTACAGAATCAAAATCACGCGCACAACGCGGCTGAACCCGAGTAGGTTGGAGAAGATACCCGAAGGGAAGAACGATTTGTCACAAAACTCAATGGGTTCGAATCCGAGAAAACTTTCGAAGTGATGAAAATGCTCTAGGCATTGGCAAAAAAGGGTAGAATGCAGCGAAAAGAAGATAGAGGCAAACAATAAGAAAGTGAAAACTTACAAATCAAGAGTCGATCAGATCCCGGGGCACCTCTGATAGTAAAGGGACCGGATACCAAATAGTTCATTCAGAAGCCTTTCCCCCCGAGCGTGGCACCAAAGCCGATTCCGAAAATGTTCTGAATGCCCGATATTCCCAAATATAATGGGACCACTATTCCAAATAAGCATGTGACCTCCTATACATGCACTATAAAGGGCAACGACCTCGTGGATGATGAGATCGTGTCGGTGTTGCTGAAGAAATTCGGGAAAACCCTTGTCACACCTCCTTTTTACTACCCCCAGAAGGGAGATATAAGGGAGTTTTTCCAATTTAAGACAATCGAAACGGGATTATTATTTAAGATCAGAGTTTCCACTTGGGATAGTTTATGGTGTCCCAAGTCACCAGTTTAGAATCCCGAATCGAGGAGATTTGACTCTGTTTAATGTCTGCGAAACACAGAAATTCGGGTAAGGAATTCTGTTAACCCGG